AATGGTGCTGTACTAAATATGAGTCAGTTCCTTTTTTTAAAAATGGTTTGCAAGTCATAATAAGTTGTTCAGAAAAAGAAACCATAAATCTCTCACCTTTGTAAAAGGACTAAGTAATTGTTGGGTAACTTTTTCCACTCAAAGCTATGGTATGAAAGAATTAAAACTAATTTATATTTTTAAAAGCCTGTGCATACATAATGAAGCAAGACCCTTATACTCTTTCCAGAATAGAAATATGAGCATCTTGACTAGATATTGCCATATTTTTATCACCTGCTTTGGAAAAACTATTTTCGAATTCCCCACCTCACATCGAAAAAATAATAGTAATCTAAATCTAGTAATCTAATAATAGTAATCTAAATGTAATCTAAATTACATTTTTAAAAATTGTTAATATATAAGAACAATCTGTAGATAATTATGTCAAAATAGATAATTCATTCAAAAAATCTTTTGAAATATCATTGTGTACTGAGTATGTAGTTTACTTCATCTTCAGGTAACTGCCACAATTCTTTAATATAGCTCTATGTAAATGTTATTAGATATTCTTATATTTAATATCTTCCAATGNTTTTTTTACCTGGAAGCATCTTACCAACTTGAGACCTTAGTACATTTTCAATACAAAATAAAAGACCTGCAATGTTTTTGATCACATGGTTGCCTTGAGTTATATATTCATGAGTTATGTCCAGCAGCAAAGTGAAAGGACCGCCCTAGCTGCAAGTTTCTTTGCTGAGTTCAAATTGACCTACTTGCAAAACAATACAGGATGCTAGAAGCTATATTTGGAAAGGATGAATGTTAGCCTGGATAATACATACAATGCTGGTCAAACCTATTTTAGCATACTTCTTTCATTGTACTGTATTGTCTCTAAACTAATACATTTATAAACCTGTTCCAGTGATGTACAATTCAAAATTGCCAATTAAATTTCAGATGAATAAATACTAAAATGTGGAGTCATTATTGTATATAGAAACCATCATTTACCATCAGAGGGAGCTAGGGCCTGAGGAAATGCACGTTCTTAAAATGCAGCTGGGCAAAGATGAATATTCGTGCACTTTAGTATCTGCAAAGCTGAATGCAGTTGTCAGTGTGTTAGGGGAGCTAGGCCAAAATAGGGAGAGGTATTAAAGGGGGTGCCTCAGGGGTCTGCACCGGGACCTCTCCTGTTCCTCACTTTTCTTTATAGAGTTTGTTTTATATACACACTAATAGCTTTAGCCATCTATTTCACAGTTTCTTCATGAATCCTTGGGTAGAATCCATCTGTGCATGTTGCTTTGTCCTCTAAGTTTATTTAGTATCTCCTTCTCCTTATCTTGACTGCTGTGATTTCATTCCTTGCACCATCTATTATTCCTATAATATCTTCTTTATCACTCTACTTTGTGAAAATTGTGAAAAGCATTCATTTAGCATTCCAGCCATTTCTTTATCATCTCAATGTATTTATCTATTCTTTTATTACGTAATGTGCCTACAAATCACCTTACTGTTTCTTTTTGTGTAATTTTCAATTAATAATTTTGCTTTTTCACCCTAATCATCTTTTTAACCTCTTTCCTAAACTTCCATTCATTTGTGTTTTCTTCATTTTGTAATTTTTATTTCTTTCCCCAGATTCAATTCTATGCTAACCTGCTTAACCATCCATGTCTTCTCATTATTTGATATTTTTTCTTTATTTCTCAATAGAATATATTTCTCCTGTAGCTTTTCTAACTCATGTTTACATTGCTTCCATTGTTGCTCAATGTCATTATTTGGCTGTTTTTCACTCCAGTTTACCTCCGCTAGTTCATTCCTCATTCTATTGTAGTTAGCTTTTTCCAGTTCATTCTCTTGTCATCACCTTAGAGCTTGCTTGGCTCAGTTAACAGCAGTCTTGCCTCTGCTTCAGAAGATTGTGGGTTCAAGCCACAAGTTGAAAATTTGAGCTCACAGTCTAGGGTGACACCCCAGTGCAGTTCTGAGAGAGCATTATACTGTTGGAGGTACTGGTCTTCGGATGAGATGTTAAACAGATGTCCATCTGTCTGTTGAGGAGGATAATTTTAAGATCCCATGGCATTATTCGAAAAGAGAAGGGAATTTCCCCCATTATCCTAGCTAACAATGCCCCAGATAAAACTGCTCATTCACTGCATGGCTATTTATGGGGCTTTGTTGTTTTCAAATTGGCTGCCATGTTTGCCTCCAAATTCATAGTCACGACACTTTAAAGCAATCCTGTGAAGTGCTTTGAGACATTCTAGAAACAAGCTATATCAAATGCAACGTTTAGTATTATTATCACTACCCATTAGGTGTCTTGTTTTTAAAGTAACGAGATTTATTCAAAACTCATTTATTCAAATGAAGGAACTAATAGAAATTCTTAAAAAATCAAGGAAATTTAGATGGGCAAATTGGTGCAATTATCGGATAACTTTAAATTTCAGTGGATAACATTGTTTTTGTTGGGAATTTGATAGAATACATAGTAAATAATAGTGGAAACAAATCATTGCCTGCTAACAGGGAATGACTTATGATGTTCGACAAAAATCATTTTTATGTTATTCAAACAGCTGACAGCATGACAATATAAATCCCAAGGAGACCAACCAGTGAAAAAAATTGCAACAAAGATAACAATAAAAAAGCAGAAAGTAAATTCAGATAAAATAGATACAAGGTTAAGTTAACAAAAAAAGTATTTAAGGTTGCAATGCCTGAAGCAATATAGGAAAATGCTAGAATTGGAAGCTTATATATCTGAGGACAACTATAACATAACCGGAATTATTTGAACATGGCTCACACCAGCTGACAATAATAAATTGCATATTCAACGTAATTAAGAATTCAGGAAAGACAATAATGGAGAGGAGATAGAGGGGAAAAAAGTAGGAGCAATACATGTTCAGAATAATCTGGAGATCAATGAAGCAGATTTGATTTCAATGGGAAAGACAACAATCAAAACAATCTGGCTAGTGTTTAGCAGATGGAGGATAGTGTTCACAATAGGTGTCTGCTACACCTCCCCCAGGAAATAAATGAGAACCATACAAAGAGATAAAAAGAATTTATACATAGACAACTGTTGTAATAATGTATACTAATAATGGATTCAATCAATGGTGAGAGAATCTGAAAGTATCCAGATGGGACCAAAACCAGAATCAGAAAATGGTTTAGGGTTGTTTTAATCCAATATTTTACAGGTCCCACCATGCATAACTCATGTCTGGACCACATGATAAAGATAAACATTATCACATAAATGTAGTGGAGCATTTGGGGAAAAAATACTGCAGTACTGATATATTTATCCAATAAGTAGCACAAAATAAACCTGGAATACTTCTTAAAAGGTGGTAGTTGAGATCCGTAAAATCTCAACCCACTTTATAACTGTGTGTGATCGGCAGAGAACATTTCTGCATTTGCTGCACATAAGCGCAGAAAGCCAGCCAGTTTCCTGCTCTAAACAATGTTGGACTGGACTTTGGGTCATCAGTATTGACCATTCACAGTTGTTGCATATTGCATATAAATTTAAATCAGTGATGACACAGACATCACCCATTTTTTAGCACACAAGAAGCCAGCCATTGCTTTGAAGTGAAATGTCCATGCATCTTCAATGAATGTGTACCCTTTCCTTGGAGGGATGCACCTTGCTAACCCAATTCAAGATCAGCATTTCTCAAATGTGGCCACCAGTGTGATTTTGTGAGGCCACAGCAGTCTCTGGTCCGGGAGGAAGGAGAGTAAAGCAGATCATGAAATGTCACACTGAGGCCACCAAAAAGATTATTGGAGAATCACTGTTCTGGACAGTATGAGGCAGAGGATGGCGAGAGGCAAGGCTTGGGCAGTGAGTGTTGGTGAACTGCTGGTGTTACCTGCTAAAACTGCACAACCTGCCAATGAAAGCACTGTCTGGCAAATTTCCTGTTGCCTGTCCAGCTAGAATAAATCCACCATTAGGGCAGTTGCAGGAGCTAAGTGAGAAGAATCCCTGCCATGAGTGATCAATCTCCAAATCCTGCCAATTGAGCCAGGATGGCCTATCTGTTATCAGCAGTGCCTTGGGTATTGGTTCAGGAACTGGACTACCAATACGGCCACAGAGAGTTGACCTGTTTGCAATATTTCATTTATTGGAACTATTATTATTGAAAATAATATAATTCTAAAACTTACACGCCAATTTGTAATTACAAAGAAAAAATAATACTGGACACAAATGTTTCAAGAAGAGGAACAAGCCATTGACAAAACAGTGTGAAGAAAGTTGAAAAGTTGAAAAACAGAAAGTTGAAAAACATGAATTGCTTCAGAAACCTCAGTATAAATTCTCAAACAGATTTAATGCCCACTTCTAAGCTCTTATAAATCTGTCTCATCTCTATTCCTACTCCCTGTGGGTCTTTTAAAAACAATTATTTGGATGTTTCAATAACTCACCATCAACTGCAGGATCTAATTCTTACAGTACATAAATAGGATCTCTTCTACAATGATTAATAATCAGAATGCATCTTCTGCAGGCAAGAGAACATCAGAGAGGGGCTGACAAATTGACTGAATGTGTGTATGGCAATAGCAAACCCATAAACAATTTAAAGAGCAACTGTTTCAAAATAAACATATTCTGCCCACCCCCCTTAAAAATTCTAAATATTTTGTGCATTTTTGGTGAAGATTTTTATATGACAGTACTAAATAAGATGACAGGTGTCAATATGGAAGTTAAAACTTGACTATATGTTTAAAAAAGTTAAAAATGACCAATTCAGGATACACCACAAACTATTTTCATATAAAATCCTTTCAGTTCACAAGGTCCAAAATATGCTGAGTATTCTAATGCACTGTGATATATAATATGATGCGAGACTGAAATCCTTACAAGTTTAATTATATTACAACCTTGTCCGCTGCAGTACAGCACAGCAAATAATTAAAAGTCTTCATTTTTTTCTTACCTAACTTTGCCTTTGGTTGTTCTCAGGACAGTGGCAGCGAAGCTTTGGGTCACTCCCACCAGACTGATTCCGTCCACTTCCACAATCTGGTCATTCACTATTATCCTTTGTGAAAGAAAGTTCAAAAACAAAGGTGGTTATTACAAATTACAATATATACTGAAAATAAATCTTATTTAACAATTACTTCTGTATTGTGTTTTTAGCACTACTTGCCATTAAACCACTTAAGTCACACAGCAACAATTACAACTTACACCTTACATGCAGGATAATGTCTTGAAATTCTTCACAGAGATGGAACCATAAGACTATAAGACATAGAAGCAGGAGTGGGCCATTTGACCCCTCGAGCCTGCCCTGCCATTTAATCAAATCATGGCTGATCTTCTAACCTAATTCCATTTACCTGCCCCATCCCCATATCCCTTAATCCCTTTATCCTTTAGATATCTATCAACCTCAGTCTTGAATATGTTCAAGGACTGAGCATCCACAGCCTTCTGGGGTAGAGAATTCCATAAATTCACTACCCTCTGAGTGAAGAAATGTTTCAACTCAGTTCGAAAGGGCTGACCCTTAATCTTGAGACTATGACTCCTAGTTTTAGATTCTCCAACCAGGGGAAACAGTCTCACGGCATCTACTCTGTCAAGACCCTTAAGAATCTTATAGGTTTGTATAAGATCACCTCTAATTCTTCTATATTCTAGAGAATATAGGCCTAGTTTACTCATACATGGAACATATATGGAACGTACACAATGGGGTACCTAAAGCTATTTTGTTGTTTTTTAAAAAGAATAATCTAATTACTAAGATCATTTGTCAAATATTGCATTTTAAATCAAATGTGTTAAATTCATGTTAAATTAGAACATTTATTTTTCAAAATTTGCTTTTCTAACCGACAAATAATACTGTACTAAGTATAATTTTGAAACAAATGTTTAGAAGATATTCTATTCAATATGTATGCCATAAGTTTTCAAAAGAGGAATATCTCCCTTATGGCAGATAGTGATAAAATGCAACCATTTCTATAAATTAGTTATGAAAAGTTGACAGATGACAAGTGACACCTGTTATATTGGCACCGAGAAATAAATGCTGAAGCCTGCTTACACAGACAACTCTCCTAGCACATTTGTCCATTCCTCTGTTCACAAAATGAGTACAGTGACATTTGCTCCTTGAATGCCATTTGGTTATTCCTGTTTATATTTAAAACATAATCATTAGCTAAGTCCCTAGTTATAGAAAACAAGAAGATACTCTATTGTAAAATGAACTTCACAGCCTGTGAGTTACAAAGTTCCAACTCAGTTTCGATCAGAAGTTAAAAAATATTTCAATACCTATGAATAAAGGTTTTACAGTTAATAGGAAGCTGAATGGAAACAATTGTTGCCCCCAGTGACCAGTCTGCCCCTCCAAGTCTCATTGATGAGCCACACTGGGTTGTTTGTCATCATTAGTGCCTTGGAGACTCCGCCACTTCCTCACCCCTCAGGCTGCTGAACCCCTCACCCATGCATTCATCACCTCAAGGCTTGATTATGGGAACTCCCTCCTCATCGTCCTTCCTAACTCTTCCCTTCACAAGCTGCAGATCATCCAAAACTCTGCTGCTCGTACTCTCATGCACCAGGCTCCGTGACCCCATCACTCCCACCCTCGCCTGACTCCATTGGCTCCCCATCCCCCAAAGGATCGAGTTCAAGATCCTCGTCCTCACCTTTAAGGCCATCCATGGCCTTGCTCCCTCTTATCTTTCTGATCTGCTGACTCCCTACGAGCCTGCCCGCTCCCTCCGTTCATCGGGATCCAACCTGCTCCATGTCTCCCGCCCGACCCGCCCTTCCATCGGTGGCTGGACTTTCAGCCTCTCTGCCCCCACACTCTGGAACTCCATCCAACGGTCCCTTCGGATCGCTTCCTCCCTTGCCTCCTTCAAGGTCGGTCTCAAGACCTTTCTCTTCGACCGTGCCTTTGGTCTCCCTCCCACCTCTCTGCCTTCCCTCACCCCAACACCACCCCCCTCTCCCCCATGCTCGGGTCCCAACACCTGACTGTTCAGCGCTTTTGGATGTCGTCCCGACGTGAAAGTTGCTCTTTTGTTATTGTTGATGGAGTACTGCAGACTGTCCTGTCAGTACCTACCACAGAAGATTGACTTGATTCTGACATGTCTCTTTGGAACCAGCTCAGCCTCACTTACCGTCTTTCCCACATTCCCCTTCCTATACAGTAGTCACAAATTCGACAGCTGAAAACCACAATGAGCTATCACTCGGTACCAGGAACTGCACAATTTGCGAGCTTCTTGGTGAGCTTGAAATGCCTGAGATTGCTGCATCATCACCCTGGCCACAGCTCAGTCATACACCCATTGGCTAATGGTTAAACCAGTTGGAAGATTGGAACTTCAGTGGGTTTATCAAGAGGCTCAAAGTGAGGTTAGCAATGTCTAATACTGCAAAAAGTGGAACATTTATTTATAAATAACTTGTTCTAACATAGCTGCCCAGGTCCAAAATCTCAGAGGCCATACTATAACAGAGAGAGAAGAAAAATGGTTGTTAGGTCGCCACTGATGTCTCTTCTGATGTGTTGTGCATATGCACACTATAATAATAGTAATAATAATCCTTGCATTTGATATAGCGCTTTTCACGTCTTCTAGACGTCTCAATGCACTTTAGCGAATATACTGTAAAGTGAATTGACTGTATATTTGTGGGCGAAACACGGCAGCCAATTGCCCACAGCAGTGTCCCACAAACAATCAAGAATTGAGTAACCAAATCGTTACTTTTTTTTAAGGGAATCCTATCCCCGGAAAAGCGATCCGTCAATCAACTAACAATCAGATTCCTACTCCTAGGAAAACAGAGGCGTGTGGATTAAGGAAACCTGCCCAACATTCCCTGCCAGGAATAGAATCCACGTCTCTTGCTTGCGAGGCAAGTGGTCTAACCACTGAGCTACAGGACTCCACTATGCCTAAGAAACGCCACCTTTGCAAAGCGATGTCAGCAGTGTTTCCTGCAAACAGCGTGCATCTGTAGCACACAGGATGTAACATTAACGAGACTTCCTGTAAACAGTGTTGATAAGCAAAAAGTGACAGTAGTAGCAACCTGACAACCCAGCAGTCAGATTTGTTTTGCTCGTAGGAAGCTGGTTAATTTGCGCCAAAAGCCAGGTGTGCCAAGCTTTCAGTATAACTTGGATCCACTGTAGATCTGTGTTCTAACCAAACATGCACTCAATCCAGATGCATGTTCATGCATGTTCTAAGAATTTGCCAATTGGTGGTAGAATTTGTTCTTCATATTGGTATCTTCTGTTGACAGTGGAAGTATAGGACAAATATGAATAAAATGTTACAAGTTATGAAACATTTATTTAATTGGATACTGCAATACAATTTGTTCAAATTGTTACTATCTTCCTACCTTTCTACCATTAAACAGTACTTGAAAATTAAGGTAATAAAGAGAGTAGGAGGAATGTTTTTTTGCACAAATTGTTAGAATTTGGAATGCCATTCCCAGTGTAGGTCGATTCAGGATCCCTATTAGCTTTCAAGAGGGAACCTGATAGATATCTGAAAAAGGATACATACAGGCGTATCGGGAAAGAACAGGTCCGTTGGAAATGAATGGGTTGCTCTTTAGAAGAGCCAGCAGAGACGCAATGGTCTTTTGTGCTGTAAATTTCTACGGTTCTAATCTCCAAGGCTGATTTAACAAAGAATATTTTGATACTCAGAGTTTAACAATCTGCAGTTATCAAGTGGTACTATCATGCTGCTGTTATACAGCCAGTAAAATTATACGCAATCTATAAACTAGGAAAGGTACCATTAAGCTTCAGTGTTCTAATAATTCATTGTCGCTTCAGCAAAGGAAAAATGTGCATTAATGATCATAAATGATCATCTTTGCCTATATAACATTCCCTTTCATTTCTAATCAATTACATTTTATACAGCTCTTCGAGATGTTGAGGTGAAATATAAACGTAAATAGAAGTTATTACTACTTTGGTTACACGATTGCTACTGGTTTAGTGGTTCACTTTACAATAAGTTCAGTTGCAAGCAGCTAGGATTTTTTTTCTTATTAAACATATCATTATTTGTAGCTGTTTTTCGCACGTCAAATGCCAAGTGCGAGGAGGTCATGGACTTCTTTTCAACTAAAATACTTAACATCCGTCAGGCAGCCTCATCCACCTGCCCCTTGTCACCCACCACCTCGCCCTCTCTGCCCTCCTCACCTTCCTTATCATCTGCTCCTACCACCACCCCCTTTCTACATTCCTTCCTCCCCAGCTCTCCCTCCTCTCTCTCACCCACCATCACCTCCATGAAACCCACCACCTGCTGCCTCGACCCCTCCCCACCAACTTACTGATCACAGAGCTCCCCCTCCTCTGCCCACTACTGGCTGACATCATCAACCAGTCCCTCTCCTCTGGATCAGTCCCTGCCCCCCTCAAAACTGTTGTCATCACCACTCTCCTGAAAAAACCCTCCCTGGATCCCTCAAACCCCAGCCATTACCGCCCTATTTCTAACCCGCCCTTCCTCTCAAATGTTCTAGAACGCGTTGTTGCAAACCAACTCCGCGCACACCTCCTCCCACTCCCTCTTCGAACCCCTCCAGTCCGGTTTCCGCCCACAGTACAGAGACTGCGCTTGTGAAAGTCACAAATAATATCCTCTCTATCTGTGACCAGGGCTCCCTCTGCCTCCTTGTCCTCCTGGACCTCTCCGCCACGTTCGACACAGTCAATCACGCCATCCTCCTCCACCGCCTTTCCTCCATCATCCACCTCAGTGGGACCGCACTCGCCTGGTTCGAGTCCTACCTCACAAACTGCCAGCAGTACATTTGCACAAACGGCTTCTCCTCCCATTCTCACCCGGTCACCTGCAGGTACCCCAAGGATCCATCCTTGGCCCTCTCCTCTTTCTGATCTATATGCTCCCTCTTGGGGATGTCATCCGCAGACATGGGGTACATTTCCACATATATGCAGATGACACCCAACTCTACTTTTCCACCTCTCTGTGACCCCCAGTCCCATGATAT